GTGCCTCATCCTCCGCTGTCTGCCAGGCGAGGGCTAAGTCTTCATCATCGCACTCCTGCTCGAAGCCCTCGGCTTCAACCTCCGCAGTGAGTTCCTTCTGGACCTCCCGGGCCAGGGCTGCATCACCACAATCTGAGGGCTGACCACTGCTTGACTCCACATCGGAGATGCCTTCGTCCTCCATCGAGGGCGTCCTCGAGATGTCCTGAGAGTCACTCTGGGACGACATTCGCACCCTTGTTCGAAGGCTCGTAGACGGTAGTGTTTCCTAACTTTTCTATCTCCTAAACTAAGGGCACAGTACAGCTATGCTAGAAGGAGAAAGGCAGGGAGCACTGACCTCGAAAGCTGGGTTTTGACCGAAGGCTGAACTTTCTCTCTCTAGAAAAATTGACAGAGCTTCGCTAACAAGTTTATCGCACACGGAGGAATGCCTGGCCTTGGGGTATTTATAGGCGATGAATCCGGGCTTGGGCCTGGATTCCGGGCCTCCGGGTGGACGCCATCATTACACACCGCCGTTTCACCCAACCGGTGACGCCGCCCACGGACAACCAGCCATCACACGCCACGTGTGCCACCCCCCAACGGCTATATCCTGTCGTTACATATTCCAACGGCTATATTTTCAACGGCTACATTTTGGGAACCCCCGGGTTTTCTACTTCACTCCACTTCATCAAGGATAGCCTCCGGGTGCACTCACCCAGAAGTGCCCCCGGGTTGTGCCCCACACCGCACATTACACACGCCTTCGGGATCACTCTTTCAGATCCCTAGGGCTGCATATCAGGGTACCCCTCGGGGTTTTCCCCTCAGCACCGCAAAACCGGATAGCCCCCGGGGAGTGCCTCATTGACGGATGGCCCATGGTCCTCGGGTATCTTAATCACCACTTCATCAACAAACAGTGGACCCCCCGGTAACAGCTTCAGTGCTGCCCTCATCTGGCAGGCCCTCGATCCCTGGATTGAGGGGCTCCCCTTCGGCGCCACCAGGACATCAACAGCCAGCCTTCGGCTAATCAACACAGGAGCCCTCAGAAGAGAGAGCCTTCGGCATTCCTGCCATTCTCCATTTTTTACCAAGGTTTGACATTTTCGATTCATCATTGGGGGAATTCGGTGCACTCTTTTTCCCTCATTAGGATTTTTTCCCAAAGGGTTTTTCCTAATGAGGTTTTTAACGAGGCATCCCCCCAAAATGAAACGAAAAAGCGTCAGCCTTCGGCCCACAACAGCAACGTAACTACTTTACTCCTTTTCACCACTTTACAAGTGCCTCAAGGAGTGGGGGACTGGAGGATCCCTTCGGGAAAATCATTAAATTACAAAATCTGTGAAATTCCAACAAACAACAAAGCAAGCCCTCAAGTCCCGACATGTGGGTAACTGAGGGACTGCCTTCGGCAGGGACATAAAAGCAACAACTCCTCACCAACTTCAGAGATCACAACGGGACAACATCAAAGGGCAAGCACAAATTACTCCTTCTCCCTCAAGTACCTTTCGGCAAAAGGAGTGAGGGACTCCTGATGGAGTATATGGCCCGGGAACCCCCGGCCCACAGACTCCTACTACTCCAGCAAAGGCCCAACAGGCCCAACAGGCCCAACATGCCCAATTCACAGCGCCCGGAGTACCAAGCAGTCCGCACAACGCACAGGGGTGCCTTCGGCCCCCTGGCCGAAGGCTCCAGATTCTCACAGAACGGGTTTCTCAAGCAAACTAAGAAACTGGGAGAAAACGCCGAAAACAACAGCCCTCGGCACTGTAAGCCCTCGGCACCAGGGTTGCCATCAGGAGGAAGAGCCCTCGGCTACTGCTCTATAGCCGAAGGCATCTCACTCGACAAGATGTCCGCCTCACATGCGTGCAGATCACCGTACTCTGCACAGACGTCCCATCCAACAGCCGCATTAAATGCGGCCACATGCGGCTGCCAGCGCCAACCAGTTGAGGTGACCCCTCGGCCAATGAGCGCTTGACACGTGTCCCTGCCCGACATTTATTGCTGCTATAAATAACACCCCATTTCCTCATTTGTAATCACGCTGAAAACGCTCCACATTTATAATACACTCTCTCTCTCTCTATATTTACTTGCTCTGACTTCTCTCTAGATTACTCCCCGTAATAACCCCTCGGATATATACCCCCGGGTAGACTATCCATCAGAGTATATGAGCCTGGACCCCAGGACCCACATACCTAGAAGAATGAGAGGCACAACTGTCACCCAGTGGGACCTTCGTTGGCCAGATGGCCCTCCATCGGCCAGAAAGATATCAACTCAGAACATGGTCCAGAAGCCAGAAGAACCGGGTGTCCCTGTCGGCCGGGTCTCCGTCGGCCATGGCTCCATCGGCCATAAAAGGCTCCCAGAATCGGACTTCACATTTAATTATTTCTACATATTTGTACTCAGCCCAATAGTGGCCCAATTGTAAATGGGCCTTTCAAGCCCAAGACTTGAGAATCCAGTTCTAATTTCCTCTATAAATACTCCCCTTGAGAGTAGTTGTAGGAGGTTCACAAATCATTATTGCAAAGAGTTATTGCATTTCTCTCTCCAACTCTCACTTCTCTCTAGGAGTTAATACTTTTCTGACTAACTTCGTACAATCTACTGAAAAGGACAATTTGAGATATTTATATAATTATTTTTTTATTTCATTTATATGATATATTTTGAGTGTGATCTGTTTCCTCACTGCACAAGATTCAAGAAATTTCAATTCCCAATTTCTTAATTTCCGGACAAACAATATGAGTTTTGCCAGAACTGTTCATTTAATTTGGCCCGTGTTTCTTGTAACCCGGTTCGCTCTGAGAAGCCTTTCAAACTCCAATTACATCATTTACGCAAAAGATACCACGGCATACTCTTGAGCTCCATCTTCAATATCTACCCCTCCATAGTTAGAGCAAGAAGGAGTGGGCACCATCCTTCAATCTCAAAAGGTAATTTTTTCTTCATCCATTTCTAAAAGATGAGTCTTTTCTTCCCCTGGATTTTGTTTTTGAGATTTTACCCGGATAAAAATTGTGTCGTCTAATGGTTATGAATTTATGGGTCTTCATTGTTTTCTTCACCTACTTTCTTTACGTTTTTGTTTTTTCATTTCAGTAAATAATTTCAGATCCATGAATCCCGATCTGAAATACTCCGTATGTGTTTGATAATAATACTACGTTACATCCGTCCCGCTATTATTGTCCCGTTTTACCTTATCGGTCTGTCCCACTAAGATTGTACCATACCAAATTTGGCAAAGTTTGTGTGGCTCTAAATCATTCTTACTTTATTTTTACTTTATCAATTCAATATCAACCAGATAAACTACTTTTTATTGATTTGCGTGTCACTCCCTATAGTCCCATTTTTAGCGAGACGGAGGGAGTATTTAAATAGTTGTAAACCTACTCTACTGTCTGCCTACCTCCGATCATTATTGTAATTTATATATAAATTCACCACCGATCAAAGTATGAAATTAGGGGTGGGTTACCCGCACGGGTAGCTCAGTTGGTCGAGTGACGGGAGATTTGGATCAATGGACCATGGTTCGAATCCCCGCAGCGACCGGGTGGAGGTCAAATAAGGCTGAGCCTTTGCTGCTCACGGGTGTATGAGCCTACCGTCATTTTGCTGACTGAGTCACCGTGACTAACCTCCCCCATCGGGTCGGAGTGAGGGGCTCCTGGGACGGAAGATTCCACCTTTTGGATCAATGAAACTAGGGGTGGGCAAACGGGTATGGAAACGCGATCCGGTCCGGGTAATGGCGGTTCGGGTCCAAAATGGGCCGGGTCCATTTTTTGTTACTAGAAAACGGTCCTGGTAGGGCCGGGTAAGGTTGGATTCGGTTCGGGCCACCCGGCACGGCCCCCCGGCCCTGCCCGTGACCCGGCCCGGCCCGTGACCCGGCACGGCCCGGTACTGTGCGGGCTCGGGACCGGCCCGGTCGGGCGGTCCGGGACCGGGTATGGACCCGAACCGGTGGGAATGGGCGGGGCGGGCTCGGTGCTAGATTAATGTGACCCGACCCGGTCGGGTCGGGCCCGGGCCCGGGTCCGGTCTTAATTTAAAAAAAAAAAAAAGGGTCTTGGGCTAGTGGGCTACTAGCCGTTGGGGGTGGGGCTGGGGACAACCCAAACGGCTATATAGCCGTTGGGTGGGGTAAAGGGGGGGTCCGGGGGTGGTGGTGGTGGGGGGGTAAAAAAACCTATAAATACTCCTAATCTTAAACATTTTTTCACATCTCTTCTCCAATTCTTCCTAAATCCTATTCTTAACTCTCTAATTCTCTTATTCTCCAATACATTATATTTATTATTTATATATCTACTTTATAGTTTATACTTAAGAAGTTAAAATGGAAAATCAAGATGCCATTATACGGTATAATTTTGATAAGCAGAAGGACCCGAAGACCGGGATGTGGTACGCAATTTGCAAATGGTGCGAGAAAAAATGTACCATGGGGGTTTCAGGCGGATACGGGATGACAATCAAGTATATGAAGTCATGTGACAAAGCTAAAGGATCGGGAGGTGCGGGAAGTTCCGATTGATTACAATTTTCAAAATGTTTGTCTCTTAAAGTTTGTTTTAATTTTCAAATGTAGTTCCTATTTCATTTCAAATAAATGCACTTGAAGTTTGTTTTTAATACTCGTATAAAACTATAAAATATAAATTATATATAAAAAAGTTAACCGGCCCGGCCCGGCCCGACTCGGACCCGACCCGTGACCCGGGCGGGTGGCCCGGCCCGAACCGGACCCGTCCAACCCTCGGGCCGGTCCCGGGTCCATGTCATACAAACCGGCGGCCCGACCGGGCCTAGGCCCGGCCCGGGCCCGACCCGGCCCGAATCCATCCCTAGGGCCGGGTATCAATTTTTTTAGATCCGGGCCGGTTCCAAAATATAAAACCGCGGGTACCCGGCCCGGCCCGGCCCGTTATATATCCAATTTCTATTTTTTAAGTATTTGGGCCAGTGGCAACTTAGCAATCTTAGATTCAGCGTTTGGGCCTATTCCAGTTAGGCCTCCATTTTCAGACTTCCTGAATACAGACTTCAGTTTTCCCGTCTCTCACCGTCTCAAGCACGACTTTCAGACTTCAAGCTTCAGAGTCGACGAGGGACGACCATCGCGCATGGAGCCATTGAGGATTAGAGAGAGTATCTAGTCCCCGGCCTGCCGACCCCATATCTGGTTCAGCAACTTCAGCTCTTCTCTGGTTTCTGATAGAGTTCCTGCAGCGATTTCTTTAGCGATCGAGAGTAAGGTTAGGGGCAGAAGCCGCTGAACTTCTTCTTTCACCTCCTCCGTCCTTCATCGTCAGGATATTGTTTCTCTCTCGGCCACTGCTCACTGTATAGAAAGCGAAAGTAACCATCTTCCATCTCTGGCTCTATATAACTGTATAAGGTATGAAATTAGGGTTTGTAATATTGTTAGTTTGATTCTCATTCCAATTTCGAATTTTCAGTTCATTCTTGTTTGAGTATGTTTTAGATTTCTAGGTTTTCCATGGAATACTTCATCTGTGTTTCATATTTTTTATTGCATTGTTATCAATTATCAGCTTGTTATTTAATACTCATTCCGATTTCGAATTTGCCGTTTCTTCTTGTTTTAGTATGTTTTGGATTTCTGGGTTTCCATTGAATGCATCATCTGTGTTATTTTGGTGTTGTATTTGGGACTTGAAGGTTACTATGTTGTTATTTTGGACCTCTGGTGTTGTCATTTGGAAACTTAACGGTGATTATGGAACTTCTTTTATCGTTTAGAACTTAGATATCTGGGAACTGGCACTTGTGACCATAGGGGCACCCTCCTGTTTCTTGTCATTTGTTGCATAGCTCTGTCTTGAACATGCCCTGACTGTACACTTCCAGCTCTACTGGCTGCTCTTCCTTCTTCCCACCCTTCAGATACACTATTTGCTACAATAATGCATCACCAACCCACCACCATCATTAGTAGTGCTCGTATCATCAAACCACAGAGATCCTATATTTTAATCACCAACTTTGTTCTCCATCATTAATTGTTATTAGGGAATTGGCCCACACTTCCTATCTATGTTGTAATTTGCGCTTTCATCTGTCAAGAATGTAATAACTATCCATCCATATAGCAGAATCTTATTCTATTAATCCTTACTCTCTTTTTTGAGAAACTATTAATCCTTACTCTATTGTGTTAGATGTACAGCTCGTTGAGATGTTATTAGTTTGAAACTTGCCAATAAACTATATCATTGATCTTTAGAACTTCATAAGTTTTTTACTATTTGTAAGACATAGAAAGTGGAACCAAAAAACCCGGACCAAATAGACCCGTTTCGAACGGGCCGGGTAAGGTCGTCCGGTTCCGCAACACCCGAACCGGACTGACCCGTACAGTGGAACCGACGGTTCCATTTTATTTTGCATTGCCCACCCCGACCCGACCCGTGCCCACCCCTATATGAAACCACACAAACATACAAACAAAAGTAGTAGAAATATGATGTAGGGTATTATCCTTCTATTTTAAAAAAGGATTAGTCCATATTCTAACTTTACCTTTTTTGAGAAAGTTTCTCAATGGATACTTTTTGACAAATGAACATCAACACAATATTTGTTTCAACAAATTATGGAAACAGAACAATAAATGTTTCATGAAAAAATAAGCAATGCACTCCGGAATTGAATTATGACTACTTAAAAGATTCCTTATATATTACGTAGTACTATTTTTAGTTTTGTTTTGAACACCCAAAACATAAGAGCTAGATCTGCCACTGTTCAGGAAGAATGAAAATGGCGGCCTCATTCAGATGGATATTGCAGCTACACAAGGACGTCCCGAAAGCTGCAAAGTTCTACTCGGAAGGATTGGGTCTCACGATCAATGTCTGCACTTTTCGCTGGGCCGAGCTTGAATCGGGCCCTCTCAAACTCGCTCTCATGCAATCCCCCAGGTTAATCTTATTTATTGACTATTTATCTATTTGTCTTATTCCTTGCCTTAAATGAGAAGTTATTAGTAAAATGAGAAATTCTTCTCTTTCACTATTAACCTAATTGGGGAAGTGTTAATTTTAACTTGCAATTAGTGGTGAGCACCGGCCTAAGACCAGACCAGACCACACCGGAACTGGCTTGGACAGGTTCAAGATGAAGACCAGACGGGAACATCCAATCCAAAATCAGGCCGGACCAGATTAGTTTGGTTTTGATCTGCTGGGTGTATGACCGGAATTTAATTATTTTTTAAATTGTTTTCTCCGAAGTGGGGTTTGATTGTAATTCTGTTATGTTTTTGTGCTACTTTTACTTTTACTGTTGCTTATTTGTTATTATCTGGTATGTCTGATATATTTGTAATCGTTTTTGGTCAATATAAATATAATTCGTCCAACTTCGATACAATGTTAAGCCATATGTCTTATGATTCTTTGATCTGATATTGCATTGTCTTATACAACATGATGTACCATGTGCATTGTGCAATCAAATGATGAAATGAATATTTCTCAACTACAAAGTGGGCATCTTTTATAGTCAAATGAATATTGTATTGAATGTAAATGTGCAGAAAAAATATAGTTTTGATAGAATTACCATTCAGGTATTAAGAAATGAGCAAATGCTAATGAAAATTACAATCTTTACTCCATATATTTACTTTTGTGAAGTGCAGTGCTGCCAGTGCATTATTATCTTTTATTGTGTTACTACTCTCGTGTGTTAAATACTTAAATACTCTCGTGTTTTCAAATAAAAACGAATAATACCAGATAGAGAATATATAGATAAACTACAAAAGAAAATTGGAAGTTAAGATATTGTGGAAGAAATTTTAACATCTGTCCAAATTGGGCAGATTTATATTTTCATTTTTTTTTCAAACTCATTCTTTCCTGCGTTGAATTGTATCATGTAACTATGTAAGCCGACAGGCCGACAAGAAATTTAACCATGTGTAAAAAAATAGGTATGTGCATTTTTCCTTTGCACTTACTGGGGCAACCAAACAAGAAACAATCTTTCTTAGCCTTTCTTTTGTTACGCAGCATTTTCTGTATTCAAACATGCCCTAAGATGATGTCTTTTTGCTATGGAGAACAGAATTCTTTGATTGAAGTTCAACGTTTCACAGTCAATAGTCAATGGAGTCGGTACAATTTGGCAATCTTGGAAGTTAGGAAGGGGAGATTAGTTATACTCAGTAAGATTTTAATTTGGGCTAGGTAAGCATGAATCTAGTTCGGGCTTATGAAATGGGAAAAGATATCTAAAAGTAGTTTACTCAGGAGTCAGGACAGTTGAAACAAAAAATGTACACAGATTGCTGTTTTGCTGTGGCTAGTTGGCTTTAGCTTTTGTACTTTTTCTATGCTCAAATACGTTCTATTTTCGGAATAAAACATAGTTACTCCTTTTTGTGCACTTTCTCTATGTTTTAGTCCTATTTGGAGCAATTTGTATTAAGCATTATATAGAGCTTCACACTTGAGAGTTGAGAACATCAGGGTCCTACTTCTATCTCGCCATACCTTGAAAGTTGGAACTGGTCTTGCTGATTATGCCTTGGACCATTTAACAGAACCAATATCCAAGTGTCCAACCCTTGACAGGCATCATAGTCCTTTGTAGGAATTTGGAGAAGTAAACAGCAAGCATCTTGGTTTTATTTACTGCAATATACTTCCTAAATAAAGTAAATGATTTTTTGTTGAGGTATATCCGTATGTCACATTTGATCTTGAAAAAAATCAACCTTATGGCATACTTTTTTATATCATCTTCAGTGAAGTTCTATTAGCCTTGATGATGTTGATGATGCTTAGTTCGGTGCTTTTGTCACCCTCATGTACAAAATAACAAAGAACCTACATTTTTCTGACATGTTCAATAAGAAGAGGTGCTGGAAAGTATATACTTGCTGATCCTTTATATGTGTTTGTTTCAGATTTATTCATTGTATTTTGACTGAAGCAATAATCTGATCAAGAAGTTATTATTTACTTTATTTTACAGCAATGATGTTGTGGAGAAGGGATATTCATCACTTATATCCTTCACAGTATCTGACATCAACAATACTGTGACGAAACTGTTGACATTAGGTGCAGAGTTGGATGGTCCAATCAAACATGAGATTCATGGGAAGGTATGTTCCTATCGTCTGATTGCTTCTCTTTTTTACACTCCAGATTTTTATGCTCCAGATTTTCCATGTTCGCTCTGTTGTATATTTTTTAGCCCATTGTGTCACGTGTCATTTGGTTGTTGCAAATGTAATTCACCTAGTATCAATATATATTATGGGTGAGCTTACCAATTTGGTCCGAATGATCCCATGGGCCCGGAAATTTAACAATCGGGCAAACCTACCTTGGCCTGCAGGGGATTCAAAACAGCTTCTTAGACCATTTGGAGTGGTGTGGAATCCAAAATGTCAAAAATAGACTCCGTCCATATGAAAACGGTGTTTTGACTCCTATTTCCTGCATTCCAGCACCGTCAATAAAATGCACTCTGCGATTCTTTTTACATATCAATTTAGTAAAACATTAATTAAATTATTATAAGTAATGTTTTCCTTTTAATTTTCCCCATGAATAATTACAAAATAAAAAATACACATTTTGATGTAAAAATGAATAAATTTCATTAATTTTGTTTATTATTTTTCGATTAACAAAAATGAACTTAGTTCAAGTAAAGTTCGATTATGGAATCTTAAGTTATTTTTGGAAGATCCATGAATTAAAAATTTGTGTTTCGTGTTATTTTGAGCTCAATAAAACTCTAACAATTAAAACTTCAGATTTTTTTTTCATTTTTATATATTACATATTAGTTTCATTTGAAAGATCATAAAAATTCATGAATTTTGATATATTTTAAGAAAAAATTGAATAATAAATAAAAAAATTATAAGAGTTATAGAAAAATTATGGTTTAAAGCATAAACAAATGACATCATCCCTATTCCCTTTTTCCCTGGTTTTCCCTGTGCGCAATGCAGCCTCTCCGCCCCACTCCCTTTCTTATTTTCTTTTTCCTTTTTTTGGCTGTCAATACACCCTCCAAATTTAAACCGCTTCATCCCCTTACCCATTTTTACTACCCTCTTTAGCCCACCAATGTATGGAGTCCAAAAATGTCATCTTTAACATTTTGGACTCCTAATACCTCACCACTCCAACTAGTCTTTTAGAGAACTTCAGTGGTTTGAGCAACCCCGAAGGTTAAGCTTAACGTTGTTGTGAGGATTAATAAGTTCTGATTTTGAAAGAATAGATTATGACCAGGAAAGGGATATTACTCCCTTTAGCTTGAGTGTTCAACATGTGCAATGTAGGGTGAGTCTTGTACTCTTGGCTAGAGCGCTGACGCATTTTCTCCACGTTTTGGTGGCAGGTTGCTGCTGTGAGGTGTGCTGATGGGCACATGGTCGGTCTTCACGAGCCTGTCTAAGAGAGTGAAACATGAGAGAATGCACGATCCTATGCTGCGTGTAGCTAATTTATATGGGAAAACTCACTGGCGTTTCGTATCTGCTCAACTCAACGGTGATGCTTTTATGTTGAAACATGCAACTGTATCGAAGGACATGATGAAGAACAACTACGGTAGAACTATAGGTCTTTGAGGCTGCTACTAACAAGAAGCTGATGAAGAGCAATTGCGGTAAATGAGTGTATTTTACTCCCCAGTTTTCAAATGGGGTTTCATCTATAATTCTATTTCGTTTTGAATGAAAGAATTTCTTAACTCAAGAGGTCATAAATTATTGATTGAAATTTGAATGTGAAACTTTGAACGTAATAAACTTAAAACTTAAACTATTTCTTGTCTACGTAACTTTGACTCACTGAATGCGATTAATGGTAAGGATTCTCCAATTTCTAATTATTAACTTTGACTCATTGGTGACTTGGCTTTGTTAGTAAATAATAAAATTGAGAAGTTCACTTAAATGAGATGTAGTAGGCTTGGACTCGGTGCGGGCCACCCAGCCCGGGAACCGGCCCGGCCCGCTACTGTGTGGGACCGGCCCGGCCCGGGAAACCTTGTCCGTTTCCGGTTCGGGCCTAGGCCCGGGGGGTCTACCGGTTCCGGGCACGGGTAAGGGAAAAGGGGAACCGGCCCGGCCGGGCCGGGTTTGGGCCTTTTTTATTTTTTTTTTGGATTTTTTTGGTTTAGGCTGGGGTTAGTTGGGCTGGGCTGGGTATTTCCGAGGGGTTTGGGGGGATGGGGGGTGGCCGGTGGGGCGTGAAATAAATAAGAATAAAAAAAAAATGAACCGGAACTAGAACCGGCCCGGCCTGGACCCGGTCAAGACCCGGGCCGGTCTCGGGCCTATGGATACGGAACCAGTGGCCTGGCCGGCCCCGACCCGGCCCGAGTCCAAGCTGTAGGCTGGAAACCAGGTCATGACCAAATGACCAATCCTATGATTCTTATCTGTGTTTCTAAATATAAGTTGCATGCAATTGACTTTTTATACTCAATTTTCACATTTGACCATTAATTAAGAATGCTAAGAAAGTAAGAAACTAGCTTAAAAAACACATACGGAGTATTAAAAGTTTAAAAACGAAAAGGTCAAGATTATATTCATATCACAAGTAATACTTCTACTGAGTACATTTACTATGGTAGGTTGAGCTTATGATGGGGGTACAAAAGAGGAGCTTCTATGTTTTTCACTTTTTCACCTCATTTGGACTACTTTTGTGAAACCTAATTAAGGCAAAAGACCCAAAACAAAACAAAATGGATTTAAAAGCAATTAAATTAGGGAAATTCTTGGGTTACATCTTCGGTTACACCCTATTTATTTGCAATTCGCACAGACAAAAAACGTACAAATACAGACACTTTCGATAAAATTGTCGGTGTGAATAAAATTAGTTTTCAGATTTGTCAGGTTGGTTGCACAGAAATCAATATCGGTGTTAACAAACATTAGTTGTCTGTGTAGACAAAAAAGTGTCGATGTGAAAAAATTGGTTTGCAAGTGTTGGTGTACACAGACATTAGTTGTCTGTGTAGAAACAAAAATGTTTGTACATATACAATTTTCGTCTGTGTACACAGACACTGAGAGCAAACCAGTGTCGGTGTGCATAAACGTAAAAAGAAAGAATTAAAGAAGAAGATGATGAACAATAATGATTCAAAGGAATTGTTTCTAAACTTAGCTAATAAAACGTAAAAAGAAAATAAAAAGAGAAGGGAAAAGAAGAACATGATGAAGAAGAAGAAGAAGAAAGAAAGAAGAAAAGAAGAAGATGATGATGAAGATGATAAAGGTGAATAAAACGTAAAAAGAAAGAAGAAGAAGAAGATGAAGAAGAAAGGAGAAAGGAAGAAAGAACAAGAGGATGAAGGAGAAAGAAAGAAGAAATAGAGGGGGGAGGGGGGTTCGTATGGTGCAAAGGGGATAGAAGAGAGTGGGGAGGGAGGGGAGAGAAAAAAGTGAGAAGAGAGGAAATAAGAAATTGGGGGAGGGGGTTATATAGGGTGTACTCCTCGGTGTAACTCAGGGGTGTACCTAAAGATTTTTTCATTAAATTATACACTGTTAACCTCATGGCAAACTCAAGACGTTCGAGGTGATTGACAAGAATTATTTGACAAGGTCAAAACCGAATTACTACAGCCTACAAAAAAAGGATCATATCCTAACCCTGAGGGCTCCTCAACACCGACCGTACAATTATATGCGAGGATGTAAATTGGAGATAAATCATAAACTGACAGATATAGAGTGTAGCTCTGACCCTGGTACAGTGTACAACATAGAGCTTATATTGTATGATTACTCCAAATGAACATCTATCCACATATAAAAAGAGTTGTATTTATATTTTAGGAGGCATTGCATGTACTAGTGGAATCAAAATTAGTAGAACAAAAAAAAGGGGAAACTGTCAAATGGGTTATAGAAAAAGTCAATTATGTCTTCAACCGGTTAAACGTTAACTTATGCACGTGGTTGGTCCATGTGGGAAATTTTTCCTTTTTTCCCTTTTCTTTTTTCCAATCTCTTTCCCTTGGTTTTCTTCTTCCGCCCAAGCCTCGCTGCACAACATCTTTTACAGAGTATGTTATTTCCTCGTTCCTTCTTCCTTTTCTCCATCCCATCCAATCTAAAGAAGGTTGTCATTTTTTCATAGCCGGAACTTGAGCAAGTACAGAGGAGAACTGGTGCTGCAAACGACGTGGACCATGGGTCTTGCCACTTGTCTCATATCTTCTTCTCCGACTCGGGGCATGCAGACGAAGTCATGCTCTGGCTAACCGCTATTCAGTCTTCTTCTTCTCCATCTGTCTGATTCTATTCAATTTGTTGCTTCATAACTAGTCAACACCGGCATGATGGCTGGTGTGATGTCGCATGGAAACGGAAAATGACTGCTGCGATTTCGCTAAAGGTCTTGGGCTATCTTCCACATGTTTCCCGGCGAGTTTACCGACGAGTTTGTCTCCGCCGCAGTCCATCATCCATAGAGAAGGGAATGGTCGGTGTGGTGACTAGGGTGGGGACGTGGGGTTGCAAAACAAGGGAGGAGAAAGAGGTCCTGACTCCTGGGTTTGCTGGTTGGATGCTTCACCGAAGAAGAAAGTAAGGAGAAAGAAAGAGTTGCAGGGTAGAGATCAAAGAAAAAGAGAAAAAGAGAAAAAAATGCCACTTGGGCATCCAAGTCACATGTTTTACCGGTGAAACTTCAAACAACCGGATTGTTCGGTGACTTGATTGAGCGATTTAAAATTATGAGGACTCAATTGACTTTTTCGATATACTACAAGGACTTATTTGATAATTTTCTCCCAAAACAAGGAAGCAACTAAGAAATTGTCATTTTCAAATACAAAACTAACATTTTTAAAGAAATTACAAACTAAAAGTATCTCAATGTAATATTACATGTGCATTACTAAATATAACTTGATGCTATAAATAAAGTTAAATATTAAGAAAAACTTATCCTAGTAATCAAATCACTAGCACCTCTTTATGTGATTGGTGAAATTATAATAACGGTTAAAACCATTACTACTATTTCCGGCGGGTTCCTCTTGATAAGCTTTCAACTCCGGCAAACCACCGCAACCGGCCACTGCTGGAGGTAGTCCGGATGCCATCTCCTCCCTTTGATCCTCCACATCCTCCAAATAATAAGTTCCCGAGGACCCGAAATCGGTAAACCCGTCGCCGCCGCCCACAAAAGCAGCTGCCACCGCCGGAAGCATGCACGTGCTTTTCAGCTCGTTCACCTGCAAATAGAAAGAAGGTGGCAGAGGGGGCAAATCTCCACCGCCCATGTACGGCGCCGCCGCTACTGCGGTCGTCCGGTCCATATAGTACTGAGCTGCCAATTGTGACTGTCCGTACAATCCAAAGTAATTTACTTGTTGTGGCGGCTGTCTGTATCCAACCGCCGCCGGATACTGTGGGTTTGGGTTTTCATCAATATAACATACCCCGGCGCCGCCGCCGTAGTAGTTGATCGGATTATCAAGAATCACGTTTGGGTGGTGGCGGTCGTAACGTACCACTTGTTGCAATGGTGTTACAAAGCCGGAATTATCCAAACCCGGATTACTATTCATATTATTAATTATGTAGTCATCATTATCATGGCGAAAATGACAGAATAATTCTTCTTCTTCTTCGAGATTCTTGTAAGAATTATTACTGAAATTAATCATCTCGAGCCGGGTATTTGAAGCCCGAAGCTTCCCATCCAAGAAACTCACAAAACTCTCTAATTGGGGTTTGGACAGACCATCCAACAAATCCGGGCAAGTCGGGTATTTGGACTCCAACTTCTTTTGCTTCAACTTCTTCAGCTCTTCCTCCACCTTCTTCTTCCGGTCCATGTAGAAGTTGGGCAGCCCGTAAACCCGGGCACCGTTTTCCGCTCCCTTCTCCTTGTACACTTGGATCATCCGTTCAACTTTGGATCGGTCGGTGGGCCAAATTGTGGGCTCGCACGATTGGGCCTCATCCGGCAGCCCGTATATGATCATGCATGCATTCACATCACATAATGTGGTGAACTCTTTAATTTTCTTCAATATTCCTTCCTTTCTCTTCTTGAAGGTCAGGTTTCGAGATTTCTTGTTTGGGATTAGTCTCAAATTTAGCTTTGCACGCCCCATAGATCTCTGTATAAAATATTCTATCAAAGAATTAAAGTTTATCAAAATAGGAATAAACATAAAATAATGAAACAAAAAATATAGTCCTTCTGTCCCAATTTGATGGTTTGATTGCGATTTACAAGAGTTGACCGACGATATAGCAAACACATCCATGTTCACTCAAATAAAATTTACATATCTAGAGATTACTTGAAAAGTTTGCAAAGTCGCAAAAGAAAAAATCAAATTTCATAAAAGTGATTTGTGTTGACTAAGTGAATAAGAAATAAATCATCAAATTGGGATTGAGGTACTACTATCTGGTATACATTATACATACATACACGATTTATACAAGTATATATATATGTACCTCGAATGAAGAAGTTCTGAAAAATATATTAAACTATTTAGCAAAGGGTTCAAAGGTATAAATAGGTTTCATCTTATATTATTTAATTAAGGAAGGAGCTAGGCAACTAATTTGATTAAATGTTTATTGACTACGTACGTACTCAGTCAAGGAAATATTTCTTAAGATTCTTTTGATTTTCTTAAGATTGGTAGCATGAATTAGAATGTGTTATTCTTGGGAAGCTTCACATTATTTATAGAAACTGAGAGATCAGATCATTACATGTGTATTGACCACCGAGTTATTAAATATTACTGGGCAATAAATTAATATTAATACCACTATTCTTTATTAAATGTTACTCAGAATAATTAAAGAGAAAATTCATAAAACATAAACAAAGTGCACATAGAACTATTATTGTTTTCTTCCTAAAATAGGAGTGGTCATTCGTCCCTAAAAAGGGAAGTTTTATACTTTTAATAGGATCAAATAAGTCTTATTCGGGGATTAAAATACATGTAGTCGTATTTGTGCATTTTGTCTAAGTTTTAATCCTATTTAGAGCAATTTCTAATAATTAGAATGCAAATAATACGATCAAGTATTATTCGGCCAATGAATATCATAGTTACTAATTTTTTGCATCATGCTTGGTATCGTTCAAACATATTGGCTGATGGTGAAATTTTTTTGATGTGAAAAAATGGGTACGAAGTTAATCTTGGTTTAAATGAAAAGTCCTTCCTATGTGAAAAGTAAGAACTAATCTTGGTCATTGATGTGGAAAAATGGGTGGAAGAGATCAAATTTTAAGTTAGAAACACGATAACGGTTTTGATAATTACGAAGAAATTTCAATGAAAATATTGTACTCCGTATCAAATATGTCCCGTAATATACAAAAAGTGCATATGCAAAGCACAAAATATAATCTTTTTTAGCACTCGCGAGTGCACTTTTATGTATAAGCTATACGTTGTTTAGTAAAAACACTTCCACATTAAGGGTCAAGATTTATTCTCATTTTTCATTGAAGCAATACTTTTTATTTGAACTCACCCACTCAACATAAATTATAAATTATAAATATATACATATATACATAAACAATTTATACAGAGAAAGAAATAGTCGAAATTAAAATGGTTTTTGTGCAGATATACGTACCTTGATCCTTGAATGATGAGGTTCTGAAAAAAATTAAACTGTTTACCAATGGTTTCCTAGGTATATATAAATAGGTTCCATCTTAATTATTTGATCATTGCGCATGGATTATCGAGTTATTGAAAGATTTGTGGGATATTTCTTGTGATTCTTAATATTTCTTAACATTCGTAGCAAAAATTAGAATCTGCTATTTTTGGAAAGCTTCACATTATTTATAGAAACTGATACTCCCTCCGTCCCAACTTGATTTGCAAAATTTCCTTTTTTGGATGTTCCAAAATGATTTTCCACTTTCTATTTTAGGTATGTAAATAAGAATAAAGTGACAAATTTACCTTTACTTTTACTTTTTCTCCATTCACTTAAAGCATCTACTTTTAGTAAGATGGACAAAAGTGTAAAAAGCAAGTATCATTTATTATCATTTCTTAATCCTTGTGCCGGTCAAAGTTTGCAATTCAATTCGGGACGGAGGGAGTAGATTATATCATTACATGTGTATGACTACGAGTAGTTATTAAATATTACTGGACAATTCAATTAATTAATATTAGTGACAATCCAATTTTAGCATCATGATTCGTATCATTAAAGCATTCATTAAGAGCTATTTGGTTTTTTTATCATGCTATTTGGTAATCCCTATTTTTAGCTTTTCAGCTTTATCAATTAATTGTATTGTCAAATACGTAATTTTTAACTTCACGTGTTAAATTGTGTAATAATAAAAATTAATAAGTTTAAAACTTTTTTGACTCAATTGACTGAAATTACTATAGAGGATAATTTTAGCTATTTTCATGTAACTTTCTTAATTTTATTAATGAATTTAATTTAAATATAACCTTTTCATAATTCATCCAATTCAATCAATTCAACTAGATTTCATAAATTTCTGCATATTCATGTGTTTTTTATTGTGTTATGCTTCCTGCGATTTTTTTCATTTGATACCTTCATTTAAGAAAAAAACATCGTACTTACATGTTAGAATTTCATGTACTCCTGTTTTGGTTGTAGTTGCATATTCCCAAAATACTACTCCCTCCGTTCCCAAAAATTCTTCCCGGTTTGACCCGGACCGCTTTTTAATGCAAGGCTAAAAAGCCTTTGACTTTCCAATTAAACCCTTGGAGGGTTGGCCGAAAAGGGGAGGGGTAAAAAAAAATTACTCCTATGAAGAATGATTAAATAAAGCGGGATGTGATAGATGTGATAAAAAAGGTGAATAGTACACCCCAAGTAAAATTTTCGGTTACAACTTCCCTCCTATTTTTGGAGGGACTTTCAAATGTTTTCTTCTACAAATACTCCCATTTCCCCATTGTTTTCCCAACCTCTCATTACAACACTCAACACTTCACACACACGCACACAATAAATGTGAGCATTTCTTCTTCCATAAATGGCAGCTGCCCTAAATGTTGATTCCCCTTCACCTTCCATTAATGCTCCTCTTTCATCTTCTTCACCAACCAACCTGAACACAATAACAAATGAGGGTGAGTCAGAAGAAGCAGTCAGCAACAACAAAAGTAGGAGACTATCAAATGTGGAAAGGGACACTATCATGAATCAAATCCTACTTAGTGCAAAAACAGATTGTTTTGGGGCGTTGGTAGCTCAGAAAGGTGTGTTCAGTAAATTGGGAACTGAATTTAAAGTTTCCAGAAGATCCATTTCAAACATATGGGCGACTGCCAAAAAACAACTTCAGAAAGGGCACCCGATGGATGTAAGCAGTAGGTGGGCTGGTAACTCAGGAAGGAAAAGAATTGAAGTGGATATAAGCTCCATCTCTACAATTCCACTGTATAAAAGGACCAATATGAGGGCACTAGCTGCTGCCACAGGCATTTCAAAGACAACTTTGCACAAATGTTTGAAAAAAGGTATGCTTAGAAGTCACACAAATGCTATTATGCCTTTCTTAACAGATGAAAACAAAGTTTCCAGAGTACAGTTCTGTTACAACCAAGTTGACAAGTCAAATCCAGGTAAGCCAACATTCCAGAATTTTCAAAATGTGATACACATTGATGAAAAATGGTTTTTCATGTCAAAAACTTCTCAGAGGTACTACATGGCTTTGGATGAGGAGGACCCTCATAGGGTGTGCAAGTCAAAGAGGTTCATAACTAAGGTCATGTCCCTAGGAGTAGTAGGCAGACCTCTATTTTCAGACACTGGTGAAGTACTTTGGGATGGTAAGGTAGGCATATTTCCCTTCATTCAAAAGGTAGCAGCCAAAAGGAGAAGCAAAAATAGAGATGCAGGGGTGATGGAAACAAAACCTATAGGTAGCATCACAAAGGAAGTGTTCAAAGACATGTTAATCAACACTGTGTTACCAGCAATTAAGGCAAAGTGGCCAGACTGCTTAAGCAAGGATATTGTTATCCAACAGGATAATGCAAGGCCACACATTTCAGGGTCAGATGCAGACTACATGGCAGCATCCCAAGAAAATGGTTTCAATATAAGCCTGACTCAACAACCCTCCAATTCCCCAGATCTTAACATACTAGACCTAGGATTCTTCAGGGCAATACAGTCATTGAAAGATCAAAAAGCACCCAGAAATGTTGATGAACTATTACATGCAGTTAATGAAGCTTTCTATGAGCTTTCACCCATCACTTTGAACAAGGTTTGGTTAAGCTATCAATATGTCATGTTAGAAGTTATGAAGGTGGAAGGGGGGAACAATTACAAGCTGCCACACGAGGGAAAGGATAGAATGATCAGAGAAGGGAGGCTGCCCATTTCTATTGAGGTAGATGTTGGACTGCTAGAAGCCATAGGAGGCTTCTTGTCCCAACATCCAACCTCTTCTACAAGCATACAGGAGGAAAATGATGGGCATTTCATACTTGAAGAAGATGAAGATGTGCAGTAGCTTGCAAAAATATTTTGGGTTATTTTGTATAAGCCTTTTTTGTCATTTTTGTACAGGCCTTTAGAGTCTGCAAGATGAAGTGTGTACAGGTAAAGCCAACAGACTCATAGGAGTAGCTAGCCCTATATGTAGGAGAGGCCTAGATTTTTGTCATTTTGTAGAGGCCTATTTTGTAGCCCTAACATTTTGTA